TAGAACCCTGAATCCAATTAGTGTTACCCACGTGTGCATGGGAGTGGAGCAATACATGGAAGAATGGCCAATCTGCTAGGGACCACATCCTGAAAATGATTCTCCTTCCCCTAGAAACCATCAACTATTGGCCGCCTCAATTAGGACCAGGGGTTCATGTGCCACCTGCCCATCAGGACTGGAATGTTGACGGGCTTGATTTTGTGCGGGCAACCACAGCTGCCGTGAGTTCATAACCATAGCAGTCCTGCCGTGTCCCGAACACGTTGCTTGACCCCAGTATTCCCTACGTCTGGATCTTACTATCCACCCACTACTGCTTCTACAGTGTTCCCTTAGCCTTGGCAGCAAGAAAGAAGGCCAAATAAGCAAGAGAGACGGGCAATCTCTCTCTTACTGTGCGTGTGTGTGTGTGTGTGTGTGTGTGTGTGTGTGTGTGTGATCTTGAATGATACAGAAGGTGCTGGCACATTTGGGGAAGTCTTTACACATCAGGTAAGGGACTCTCTGCAATTCTTCAGGGCATGATCCCTACTCAGGTGGTTTTTCATTTGTGGCAAAATTACACTAACACCAACACCACATCCTATGTAAGGAAATTACGAAGAAAGGCACATGCAGACTGCAACAATGCAAAGAAGCTTTATTCAAACGTGAAGGGTAATGAATGCATAGAGCCTGGGGAAAGGGGGTGATCTAGGGGCAGAATCCAAATGCTTGGCAACATACAGAACACAGTAAGAAATCTGTGGGACCTTCACGCCAAAAGGCAGCTCTCAGGGGAAAGGGAGAAAGGTATTTTCAATAATTACCCAACCGAAACAAGCTGTTCTCCACTCTCCTACACAGGCCTGAAAATGCTTAGCCATCATTTGGAACAGATTCGTAAGAATGCTTCAGAAGACGCTTGTAATGAATTGTGCCCAGACAGCTATACTTTAAGTTAGCATCTCAGCCCTTGCTGGATCTGTACTATATATACTAGCTAGGCTCCTTTCCTCCTATGCTGTATTTCATTCAAAATAGCAAGGGGAGGCATATTCTGCTCCTCGCCTTTGCCAGAATGACGGGAAATAAGTTAACTGTGGGACACTCTTCCCACACTATACCTGCTACAGAGGGTTTTCTACAGATCCCGAATGGTTTAACATTCCAGACACAGTGGGGAGACGACTCACAGGCATCAGGAATCCCTTACCAGCTCTTACAGATGACCACAACCAGATGCCAGAGGGGAAAGATGCCAGCTCAGAAAACCTTCACGGCTTTTGTCTCCTGTCAAACTGAGTCTAGAGATGGGTAAGTCCAGAGACCATGCATGGTGTCTGACTGCAGCGGCAGGCACGGACTAGCCAGTTTGAAAGAACACAAAGGCAGGGATGCCCTTTTATTCTCAACTGGGAGAATTTTCTACATGGGAGAAATAATGCAAATAGGAAATACAGACCTGTTCTAATTAGAAAGTCTTTTAAAAATCAATATTAATATCGTATTTCCAAGAGAGGATATACTATATAACAAATAAGCAAAAAAGACAGATAATTTCTGGCCCACTGTGTACAGGTTTTTTAGACACTCAGGGCAAAAATCCTTGTCTTAGTTGCTTTTTCGTTGCCATGACAACATCATAACCAAGGCAACTAACAAAAGGAAACATTAAATCTAGGGTGCACAGTTGCAGAGGTTAGAGTAGGTGACCAACAACACAGTGGGAAACATGGCAGCAGGCAGCCAGGCATGGCCTCCGGGCAGTAATTGAGAGCTCACATCCTTACCCAAAAATAGAAGGCAGAGAGCTGTCAGCCTTCAGTCTACCTCGGAATCCCGAAGACGCAGGTTCTAACACAAGTAAAGGAGTGCGCCAGGAACAGGATAGCTGAAACTGCCAGGCAAAAGCAAAAGCTTCCTTCTCCATGTCTTTTTATGTGGGCTGCCACCAGGTGTGGTCAGACTTGGGGTGGCTCTTCTGACCTCGAATAATCCAGTCAAATCGGCCACTAGTGCCCAGCTGTTTTGGTTTTAGTTGAATCCAGTTCAGTTGACAACCACAATTATCATCACAGTCCTTTGTAAATGCTGCATGGATTCTAAAACTTGTTCAAATACTTCCTCAGTGTTTACAGCCTATATCGTGTGTTCTGATATACACTGGGGAGAACAGAATAGGAAAAGTTCTTCCCTCAAGAAGGGTGAGGTGTAAGTAAAAAAACAAGGGCCTACACCCAAAACCATCTGCAAAGATGCAGTCTCTCGCCAACTTTTTTCTTTTCTTTTCTTTTTTTAAGAAAGTTGGGTCTACTCATTTCCTGCGCTGGCTGTGGCAAGCTCCCACAAGTGATGACGTAAAGCCAAGAGTCCTTCTCTCATTGTCTGCGGCGAGTAGTCTAGAATGAGTATGTTCTCGGGGCCAGAGTGCAGTCGGAAGTTTCTGTCCCTCAAGCTGCTCCCAAGTCTCCACACAGAGGCTTAATATCAATTACAAATGCTTAGCCAGTAACTCAGACTTGTTACTAGCTCACTCTTAAATTTAAATTAACCCATATTTCTTACCAAGCTTTGCCACACAGCTTGGTGCCTTTTCTCAGTACTGCATGCCCATCTTGCTTCTCTTGGCATCTGCTCACGACTCCTGACTCTGCCTTTCTTCCCAGCCTTCTCAATTTGGCTCTTATGCCTAACCTTATCCTCTCCGGCTATTGGTCAGTCAACTTCTTTACTAAACCAATCACAGTGACATCCATTCACACAGTGTAAAGGAATCCTCCACATGAGAGGAATTCTTCTTGCCATTCATAGCTCCAGGTGGCTCCTGGAAACCCTTACTGCTCCCCAGCTGGTAAGAAAATCACTCCTCGGTCTGCCTCGCCCAGCTTGCTCAGACTGCTGGAACAAATGTCAGAGACCAGGTCATTTACTAACAGGAGATATCTTGCTGCTCACACTTCTGGAGGCCAGAGGTCCAAAGTCAAGGGACTGGCAGATCCGCTACCTGGTGAGATTTGTAGCTGCTGGAAAGGTGGAACAGTGAATTGAAGACTGTATTCAAGCAGCTTCCTTCACATCTCTTAAGACCTAGCTCCTCTTCCTCATCTCCCATTTTCCCCTTTTGGGATGGGAATGCCTCTGTTATTCCTTGCCCACCCTCTGATTTTGGAAGTACAAACCATCTTTGGTTTCCCACGTTCATAGCTAGGAAGGAATTTTGACACAACCCAATTACACAAATCTCACTGGTGTCTGATTTCAATGAGGTGGATGCATCTTAGATGGTGGAGTTTGGAACTCTGGAGCTGTTGAGATAGAATAAATGTAGATTTGGGGTGTTACTTTTCTGTTACTCTTCTAGAACATCAAGACCAAAATAAACTTATGGAAGAAAGGGTTTGACTTAAAGTTCCAGAAGGGCAGCCCATGCTGTCCGGGAAGTATGACAATGGTGGAGCATGCATGGTCATGAGCTGCGCATTGAGAGATGCCTTCAACCAAAAGTAGGAAGCAGAGAGAGAAGCTATCAACTCTCAATGACCACCCCCAGTGACAAACTCCAAATGACTCCAAAGATTCCACCACCTTCCCTAACAGTGTTTTGTTTTTTAATTCTCTCTCTCTCTCTCTCTCTCTCTCTCTCTCTCTCTCTCTCTCTGTGTGTGTGTGTGTGTGTGTGTGTGTGTGTGTGTGTGTGTGTGTGTTTGTGTATACCAACCATCTCTCCAGCCCTAGAATAAACATTTGGCTCTTGACAAGCACATAAATCTCTGAGGTCCAAGGCTGGAATACTGGAGGCAGAATATCTGTACTCTTAACAACTCATATGTTAAAACTCTAACCCCAATGTGATGTCATGGTTTGGTTGTAAAATATCCCCAGATTTTTATGTGGAAGGCACGGTCCCTAGCTGACAGCACTATGGGCAGATCCTAAGTGTGCTATGGTCATCATAGATCAATTCGTTGATGGGCTCATAACTGAGCGGACCTTTGGAAGGTAGGACCTAGATAGAGTCCACGGTGCTTTACTTGGAAGAGGAAAGAGTAACGCTATCCCTAAACCTTTCTCTTGTCTCCTTTGGCTTCCCAGCAGCCATGAGGTAAGCATCTTAGTTCTGCCATGCCCTTCTCACCATGATGGCAACTTGGCACAAGCCCAGTTATGGGGTCAAGTAGCCGTGGGCTGAAATTGTGAGCCACAGTGTATCTCCCCTTCTTGCAAATTTGCTCAGGGATTCTGTCACAGCAACAGGAACCTAACAGAGAGGGTATTTGGAGGGGAGGGCTTGAGGGGGGTGACTGAGTCAAGAAGAGCCCTCCTGATGGCATTAATGGTCTAAGAGACGGAGGAGCTTTCTTGGTTTCTCCCAGGAATAGGGCCCTTACCGTGGCCCAACCATGGCTGCACCCTGATCTTGACTCCACAGTCTTGAGAAGTGTGGAAAATGTCTATTGTTCAAGTCATCCCACCAAACCTTGCACTGCAGTCCAAACAACTGAAAACATTTTTTCGCTTGACGGATCGCGGCCTCTGAGGCACAAATGTTGTTCAGACTAACGTCGTCTCATTTGTCAAGTTTTGGATTTGTTGCCTGTATTCTCATAGCGGAAATATAGTAAGGAGACAGAAATTATTTAAACATTTGGGATATAGATGGCAAAGAAAAATAAGGACATAATAGAGTTTTCTTATGCTCCACTGATAAGAGTTGAAATAACCATGATCATGTTTGTTTACTTTAAGAGGAACAAACAGAGTTCTATTATTTATTACACCAGGGTGAGCTCTGCGGCACTCCATTATGTAAAACTGCCTTACTCTGGGGCTAGATTCATGGCAGTCAGAAACTGGGACGAACCACTATAGCTCTTCTTTCTTTGTCATTATTACCATGCTGTTAAAATAATAACAATGGAGGAATAAGATGATGGATGCCCAGGATGCAGAGGGCCCTTGCTTGGCTCATTGATGGCTCAACTCACAATTTAATTTTTCTATAAGTTTTCCTTTATTATGGCGCAAAAGGAATACACACCCAGTAGAAACTGTACTTCCACCATTGACTCTTTCCCAGGCTAGAGATGCGCAGTGCAATGCCTTCTAGCAAGGCTAAGCAGCGGCCGTGAGCTGGAGCTGTCAGCCACCAGGGTAAGCAGTCATTTCTCTACCATAGAATAGACGGTGTAGCAAAGTTAGGGTGTTCTACGAGCTATTTGAATTCAAAGCATATTTCTTGACTCACACTGTGTTGAGCTCACAGCGCACATCTGGTTGACACGCCATTGCAAAACCAGAATCATCTACAACAGCAAGCACACAAATTTCTCCCAAGATTCCTTTCAATTCTAACAGAGCCACCCCTTTCCCAAGTGACAGTGGCCAATACTCGAACACAGCGCAGGGTGAATACAAAGCCGAGAACCTGGCAGCAGAATGATCGCACAAACCTACGTCAGGGAAAGACTTCTTCTCCTAAAAACTTGGGGTTGCAGAGAAAGTGAGATTTCTTCACAGTTTAGTGAGATTTGTTTTCGTTTGTTTGTGGGTTTTGGGTTTTTTCATTTGACAGTTTGATTTAGGTATTATTTTTGGATTCAATGCCAGTCCCATTCCCTGTCATCTGGGTAACTTTGGATAGGTATTTTAGTTTTCCTAAATCCTATCTCCGTCTCCTATAAGACGAAGAGAATGATATACACAATGTATGAAATGGTGAAGTGGATGGATGACATGAGAAGCAAGCACAGACACTTCTCAGTCTGGGGAACAGTGACCACGAGGCTGAGACCTCAAGTGACTTTCTGCCCTGCAGAGCTCAAGAGCTCTGTCTTAAACAGCAGCGTGTCGGAAGAAGGTCCTATAAAGTCAATATGTGTGCTGTGAAGATTAATCAAAACTCTATGAAATCTGTAACACAGCTGTTCACATGCCCGCTTGATATTTGTTTTCTCTCTCTCCCTTCTTCCTTCTAAAGCCAGGGCATCTTTTCTGAGCTCAAGGTGGAGCTCCTGGACCCACTCCTCGATGAGCTCCTTCACAAGTCTGACCCTGCTAGTGCGAGACCCGTCACGAGCATCTTGTAGACAAATGGTGGTGACATCACCATCCACCGTCTCCTGACACAGGATATGGTATTTGTTCAGTGTCCGTTCATAAAACTCACACTTGTGTTTCAGGTAAAGGAAAATGTCGGTATCCAGGACAAGTGTTCCTTGGCTTCTGGCAGACTCGGGTGCAGAGGTCCCGAGTGCCGCTGCAGGGTTCTCCTTTCTCTGGAGGACGCTTCCGGGGCTCTGCCTATTCTGATTTCTCCTCTCACCGGCATACTTCCTGTTGTTTTCTGAAGAGGAGATGGCTTTTGATATCAAAGCCTCTTTGAGCTTCATGATATCCAGGAACGAACCTAGCACAGAGATTTTCCCACTGGACCCCAATGGGCTAAAGTTTAAAGAGGGGATTTTCTTCTTCAGCTCCATGACCAGACTTTCTAGTGCAATTTGAGTCCGAAAAACAGAAAGGTCCAGAAGAGCCATCACGTAGTTGAAGACCTAAAATGAGAAAAAGTCATGGCCTAGTGGAACCAGAACCAAAACACATTGCTCTCTGCCATTCTTCCGACCTGGGCAGTGCTTGCTCTGAGTGGGGTCTGGGTGGTTAAGCCGAGACTTCCCAACTTCTCGCTCTAGATCACCCCTTCAGAGATCCCACACCGCACACTGCGGATTCACAGCCCATACCACACACCCCAAAAGCGGAGGGTAGAAAATAGTCTGAGACAAAAATGCTGTCTTGAAGCACGGTGCTTTTCAGAACCCATCAATATAAAGAAACTATGACCATAAGCTCCACAGACGGACATCCCTCTGTAGTCAGGCCTGCCCGGCCTCCCTCTTCCAATTTAAATGGCAATAGCTTGGCTGTACCAGAGCCCAGGTTCCCGAAAGAATATATATGGGAGTTTTAACTTTCATTCTTACCCCACCTTCCCTGCTCCTTTAAAGTTACTAATCATCCTAATTGTCCCCCAGTATAAAACCTTTAACCTGCCTTACCCACAACAGCAGGAAATCTCTCAGTCACTTTAAAGGGATCACAGGACACACACACACACACACACACACACACACACACACACTGAAATATATAAACAACATGTCTAGAAGCAGCTTTTGAGAACTGAGAAGTTCCTGCTTTTGTTCCTAAGAAGTCATGGGGCAAGAACACTCTGTGTGTCTTTATATACCAAGAAATGGGGCCCGGGACCTCACAACACACCCTGGGGCCCACACTCACCTTTTCGCTGAAGTGAGAGACCACGAGCTGAGGCTTTGAGGTCAGAGAGTATCTCTTTTGTCTGATGGCATTCTGTGCAGCTACAAAAACAGTATCATCAAAAGTGTTTGTGAACCGACACAACAATAATTACCTTAATTTACAAAAATGGAGTTGTTCTATTGTTTAGAAAGTAAGGTTTTTGCTCCATTTTTCTTGTAAACCTAATATTCAAACGACTTTCCCCTCGTGCTTTAACATGCTGAAGTTGACCATAAATAAGTTAACAGGTTCCTAATCCTATTTTTAAACACACAGGAGTAAAAAACAATAACCAGAGTCAATCCTCCATGCTATCCACTCTAGGCAGAGAAAGACTGCCTTCAGAACTGGAATTCCATGCTGCCAACATCTGTCTCCTAATCCACTGCTAATCATCTCCCCCTTCTCTCGACATTGGCAAACCCAGCCCTCAGGCCTCTTTGCTGACTAGGACCACCCCATGGGTAATCTCAATGTCTATGGCTTTAGACATCTGCATACATATCACTTCCAAACTTCTGCCCCTACTTCATCGTCCTAACAGGGGTCATATCAAGGAAAGCTCACGCCTTGTTTGGTGTTTCCTGAACAGACTAGAACACGGTCATCCGCATCTCCAAAATGACACCCTGAACTCACCTGCTCTGCTGTGGTCTCTCAAAGGCAGCAGCGACCTGTAGATCCTATTCCCCATACTGTGCCGCTGTTTCAGACAGGCAGTTCCAACCCTCGGCCCTCTACTCAGAATACAATGGCTCCCACCCCTCCCACATCGACTACTCTGTGTACAGACACACATTCTATTTCCTGTCACAATGGGCTCCTTTCCATTGCTCCAAACAGCCAACAGGCTTCCCTTCCCTCCTTACCACACTACCCACCCCAGCATAGCTAATTCTTCATTTATCCTAAAGTGTTCCTCCCCCTTATCCACATGAATTCCCCCCCACCCCCTATTCCCAACCCCCACCTTTTGATTCATTCTGGTCTCTGCTCAACTGTTATGTAAACAGAGTATTTCAGCTCCAGAAATACTTGTTGGTACAGCACATATCTTGCTGTGATGAAACTTTGGGTATTATCCCCAACATGGCTAGTGTACATGAAACTTTGAACGTGATCCTCCAGCACACGTGCATGCGCGGGCACACACAGTGTTTCCAACCAGATTTAAGGAACTGAATCTCCTTGGAGGATCTCAGGTCAGCCTGGGAAACATGATGAAATTCCATCTCCTCAAAAGGAAATAAAAAGGGGGCTAGAGAGATGTCGAAGCAGGAAAGAGTGCTTAGCTCTCCTTTAGAGAACTTTAATTCGGTTCTCAGCTCACACATCCAATGATGCACAATCTCCTGTTGTAACTCCAGCTCCAGGGAAACCAGCTCCCTCCTCTGGCCTCCTCAAGCACCTTTACACACACATGACATTCATACACACAGACAGACAGACACACACACACACACACCTTAAAATAAAAATATTATAAATACATTTCTACATAACATACTTAAAGAGCAAGAGAAATTTCCCTACATGGTCTACCTAAAATAGTACCACCTACCACTTTATCTCTTTATTATTTTTCATACTTTTTCATAACATTTATATGGTAATATATAAATAAATGCAAACAAATATATAAATATAAATGAAGACAAACATATTATACAGCTGTTGGCCTAATAAATGTCCATCCCCACTGAAGCATACTTTGTGAAAACAAAAAAGACTCCTATTCCATTCACAGTCATTTTCTGGGCACCTAGAATAGTGTCTGGAATATCTAGCATATAAAATATTAACTTATAAAAAAAATATTAACTTATGCAACCACTGCCATCCCTTTAAAGATACGAACAGCCCTTGCCACAATCCCATCCTGAGCATGGCCATTGAGAAGGAACGGCCAAAGGTTAGTGTTTAGGATTTTTAGACCTTTCCTTCCCCCTCAAACAGAGCAAGAGTCTTCTCTTCGCTAACACAACTGCATGGAACTTTCACCCCTGAGGGGCTGGCCTGAAGAATGTTCTCTGGCCATCTATCCTACTAGGGTCTAAGCCTAAAAAGGACTGCCCTTCCTCCAGGTGGCAGAAACAGCCATCAGCTAGCTGCTCCAAGGAGATGTGGGAGCCAGAATGGGCTCAATCCTGTTTCAGGTCCAGGCCACAGTTCTCAGTTCAACTTTATTAATAACAAAAGCAGATATTTTATGAGAATGTCTGCTTGAGAGTTTGAGGGTTAAGAGAAGCAGAGAGTATAATTCTACTGTTGTTGACACCTCAAGTTTACCAAAGAGATTATATGTAGCCAGTGATGGTGTAGCACATCTTTAATCCCAGCACTTGAGATGCAGAGGCAAGCAGGTATCTGTGAGTTCAAGGCCAGCCTGGTCTACAGAGCTAGTTCCAGCACTGTCAGGGCTTCACAGGAAAACACTGTCTCAAGAAACCATAAAGAGGGCTGGAGAGATAGCTCAGAGGTTAAGAGCACTGCCTGCTCTTCCAAAGGTCGTGAGTTCAATTCCCAGGAACCGCATGGTGGCTCACAACCATCTATAATGTGATCTGGCGCCCTCTTCTGGTCTGGTGGCATACATGCAGACAGAATATTGTATACATAATAAATAAATAAATCTAAAAAAAAGAAACCATAAAGAGAGAGAGAGATTATATATAACTTAAGTTTATTTTTCTTGTGTTCTATAACCATCTCCAAAGATGTATATACAGAAGCCAAATACCTTTTAGAGTTTCACAATTTTCCAGTCACTCACACTTGATCATGAACCATTTCACGTATTTTTGCAAATATAAAACTGCCCACTTTTCAGAGTAGAGGAATTTTTTAATGCTACTTCAAACTTTGCCAATCCCATGAATCATTTAATCAACATGAAATTTTAATTTCACCAGAAAAGTATATACTAAGAGTATAAAATATTGGTTAAGAAGTACCTTTCTTTTCTTTAAATATGATATACGCAATTCCTTTGGTTCTTGATGGATAGATCACCTCTTCCACGTGTCCAGCCTCATCTTGGAAGTAACGCTTCACCAGCTGGTCTTTTAAAAGGCCAACCGGAAGACCAGAGACGACAATCGTTCTCTCAGAGACTGAGGGGCCTCTGGTCTTCAACGCTGATGCCTGTAGAAAAACAGTTAAGACACCATTTAAATAAGAGTCTGCTGAAAGGTACCATCATGTTGGCGAGACACAAAGCCCCCTTCCACAAAGGTGACCAGCAGAAGCATGTCTGCCTTGTTCCGTCTACCAATATAGACCTTAGTCAAATTTGAGAGTTATGTGTCCAGTGATCCCTTTATTTTCAAATAAGTAGAAAGTATTAGTAAAGTTTTGATTTTAGGAAAGCCCAAAATAATAGAAAGTGTCACCAAAAGAAAAAAGGGGGGTACATTTTTTGAGATGGGGTTTTGCTATGTAGTCTTAGTGTAACAAGTCTTTTTCTATCCTGCTAGCCAGCCCCCAAATAATGACGTGGAGACTTCTTACTAATTATGAAAGCTCAGTCTATAGCTTAGGCTTGCCCCACTAGCTCTTATAACTTAACTGCTTTTATTAATTTATGTTTTAACTTCTCTTTCATTCTGTATGTATCTTCATACCTTGTTGGCGTCTCCTCTACGCCTGGATTATCTCCTCCTACTTCCTCTGTCTGGAAGTCCTGCCTATACTTCCTACCTAGCTATTGGCCATTTAGCTTTTCATTACACCAATCACAGCAATACACCATCACGGAGTGTACAAATATCCCACAACACCTTCATTAGCCTTGAGCTTGCTATTTAGACCTGACTGACTTCAAACTCAAGAGATCCTCCAGCCTCTGCGTCCCTAGTACTGGGATTAAAGGTGTGCAATCACACCCAGGGAGATGTACTATTCTTCTTCCTAACAGTTAGAAAGTGGCTGTGGATACAGCTCAGTGATAGAGTGCTTGGGTCGTGGGTGCAAAGTCCTGAGCTACAAAATGGAAAAGTTTGAGAGAAAATATCTATCTTCTGGATTAGAGAGTTCAAAGGATGTAACTCAGCAAGAAAGGCATCCGTTTTACTATCAGAATCAGGGAAAAGTCCTGCAATAATGAGGGGGCTGCACAGACCACACTGTCAACCATGGATCTGAGGTGACACAGGGACAGAGAGGACATACACACTCTTGCAGATCCTGCACAGCAAAAATCCTTCATTTATTCCCTAATCCTCTTGAGTCCACTTCTACTTCGCCCCTTCATTTATCTACCACCCCAAGTTAAGAAAGTAAGTCTATCCCAAGATGTGCATAGTTAGTCCAGTCTAACTGCAGCGAAATTCAGACCTAATCTGTCTTAAGCAGCTCAGAGAGGACAAGGTCTCCTGAGCTGAACTGATGATTAACAAACCACAAAGGCGCTCTGGACTCTGCGTGCAAGGATGGTGTTTCAAATAACACTCCTCTGGGGGAAGAGCCTACTGCTGGCCTCCCAGAAGGGAGGGCAAATGGATGGTCTCTGTTCACACACAGTGTTTGCCCTAAAAGTAAGAGAACAAACTCAGTTCATTGATGCAGGAGATTTCAAACAATTTGGGGGAGACAAAAATACACCAAGGTGTATGTAAGAATGAGACAGAAGAAGGAAAGGGGGGTTGTGGGGTAAAGATGGCAGTCTACATAGCAGGACCCTCGGGTACAAAAAAAGAACAAACACAACAGGTCATGGATGGACACCCGAAAAGCAATCGCTCCAGCTTGTTCCCCACACTGCCTCCTCCCAACTTAAACACACTCAAGCTTGAAGACACAAAATCCATTGTAGCCAACACCAATACAGAACCTCAGGAAACCTGAGGACCATTTTACTTAAGAAAAAAATCTAGATCAACTCTCTAGAGACTGTAGTTAGCTTGGGCACCCATGAGCACTGCCCTCTCTTTTCTGCCATTTGAAGGGGCCCCAGCCTAAAGATTGTGAGCAAACTAAATCTTAAGTAAAGGGGGAAATGAAAAAGAAAAAGAAATTCTGGCCATCACTAGAAGCATTTCCCTTTATATGGAAAAGGAAAATTACATATGACATGAGACCAAAAGAAATTTTAGTATACATTTAGATCCTGTTGGCATAGTATTTGCTGTTTTTGATACACTACGGTTGACTTTTGACTTCTGGACTAAATGCGCTAAGTCTTCAAAATACCAAAAGTTTTTAAATGGCTACAGAATATATATATATATATAATTAGAATATATATATAATATAGTGCTGTCTATGTAAGAATAAAGCCAGTGTTAACAGAAACTTAGGGGGAAAAGGACACGGTTACATTACAAAGAATCACACAGTTTAAGTACATTATAGAAGTTACAAAAACAGCCCAAAGAAAATGTTTAAGTGTTGTTCCAGTACAGCTTTCAAAGTTGAAAAGTGAAGAAAGCAATCAGCTGTCCCCACCTCCACTTATCACAGCAGAACTCAGAACACGGCTACGGCAATGGTGACAGCCCAGAGGACTCAGAACACGGCTACGGCAATGGTGACAGCCCAGAGGACTCATGTTCTCAGATTCCCGTGCTCCAGCCAGTTGCACAGACAAAATAAAAGATGGCACACAAGCCCCATCCGGTGGCATTTTGGTTTTAAGTTTACAATGTGTGCATGAAGTTTCCAGCACATATACCTTATTACTGAAGCCATTAATAAAATCTGTGTTAATTAAACAGATGCTCCACATCTGGCAAGATGTTGGGTACTAGAAGTGGCAAGCAGAAAGAAAACTGTTGCCCTGAAATTCCGTTCTCTCCAAAACATGCCCTGGAGGGGGCTGGGAAAATGTCTCAGCAGTTAAGAGTGCTTTTCCAGAAGACCTAGGTTCAAGTCCCAGCAACAGCATGGTGGTTTATTACCGCCTATAACTCCAGTTCAGAGGGATCTGACACCCTCTTCTGGCCTTTGAGGACACCAGGCATGCATGTGGTGTCCATACACACATGCGGGCAAAACACACACATACAATAAAATAAATTTCAAAAATAAAAGTGTGCGGTGTACTCTTTCTGCCATGGAGCACCTGGATGGGCTTTACGATTCAGATCGTGGAGAAGGTACTTGTATTGTAGCTCATGGGCCACAGGTAGACAGGGAGTCATTTCAAAGGAGTATGGGTGAAGGGGGGGGCTCTTTATTGCTCTAGAGAAGAAAACAGAACACCTCGTCTGAGAACACAGATCACCCACAATAAAATCCTAAAACCACAATAAATGCCATCCAGGATTAAGAAGCAAGATGAATTTTGGCTAAGGTCCAAAGAGGCTCCGAGAATGAGAGGCCTGGAAGGCTGAGGTAGAATGGGAATTGATAGGGGAAAATATTAAGCAAAAGACGTTTCAGCACACAAAGCGGTGGGGGCGGGGGTGATCCTCGCTCATGCTCACAGAATTACAAGACAAAGGACAACCACCTGAAGATAAAATGCTCAACTAGGAAAGTAAAACTGACTGGCTGTGTGACAGGGAAGGCATTTTGATGGAAGGAAACGGTTTGTCTACATGATACAGTGAAAACACTCCAGACCCAAGGGTTCCTCCTGAGTCTCCAGATTTACGTGATTTTCTCAAGATAATTCTCCCTTACAAGAGGGAGGGAAAATGACCAGAGGGACCTTCAGATTTCCAGGGAAGCTGACTTCCTGGCTTTTATCTCTTGGGGCATTCTGTTCTGACAGCCCACACCAGCGTCAGTTGGGAAATAGCTGGTGAGCCGCCATCCTTCCTGCATTTATCAATATCAAAGAAAAAAAAAATCAACTTAAGCTCAGGAAATGCCCACGCCTCATGAGCACTAATGTGTTTCTTAATGCAAGTGTCTATGCAACCTTTATCTTTAGAATCAAAGAACTCCTAGTCGGTGTTTTTGTAGACCTTGTTTTTGCAAGGACCTCGCATTCTGTGATCTTGGGAGCCACATCAGCGCCCTGCGCCTTCTTCTTTAGCTCACTTACGTCTGAGGACAAAACGCTGTACGCCTTCTCCTGGGACCAGCTGTGAACAGAGTTATCCGTTTCCTCCGTGCACAGTAAAGAAGAAAAACGAAGAGTCCCGAAGAAAGATAATCCATTCAAAGGCTTTGAAACAAGGCAATTTCAGCAGAGACCTGAGGCTGATGGCATTTTACCTTTTCCATGCTCTACATCCAGAGACACTTGGCCTCTATGTCAGAAAGATGGGGGGGGGGGGGGGGGGGGGGTAGAGAGAAGTAAAAATTTTTTTTGGTTTTTCGAGACGGAGTTAATTAAAACTTTTTAAAGTGAGGCACTAAGAAGAACTAGTTCACTTACTGTTTTAGTTTCTATTTGCTTTCTCAATCACCTCTCACCAGGTAACACACATAGACACGCGCGCGCACACACACACGCAAGAGAGAGAGAGAGAAAAAGAGAGAGAGAGAGAGAGAGAGAGAGAGAGAGAGAATATCAGGTGAAACAAAAAGAAACTCACGCATGCACGGTAACTGCTCCAAAACACAGTCCTCTGGGCCTCTGGACAAAATCCCGAGGCCTGGCGCGGAAAAAGAGGCTCCGCTCAAACCCTTCTTCCTAGCTTCTTCCAGTACTTAACTATAGCCTCCTTTTCTGGGTCACTGTTCTCTTCCTCATCCCTAAACCAGTCTCAGTCCCGCCCTAACCACCTTCCAGAAGAAACCCGAGGGTCCCTTGCGGTTTAGCAAGGAGTGCTAACGGCGCAAGTGTCCCCACGCGTGGGAGCCAAGCCTGCCGCACCCGCGGCGGCCACTTCGAGGCGCGCGATCGTGCACGACACGCGCTCCGGGACCCTCGGCAGTGCGCCTCCCTGCATCGCGACCCCAAGAAAAGTGACTTGCCATGGTGCGGAGAAGACGCGCGGGCAGCTGGCAGCCTAAAGCGGGCGGCGGGCAGGTTCCGCTTTCGCTTTCCAGTTCCCGTAGCCCGGGAGACCGAGCACGGAAGGGCGGGGTCTTGCGCCAGCTGCAGGGGTGGGTTGGGCTCTCGCTTCTACGCGCAGCGTGCACCGCAGGAATCTGGTTTTTTCTGGACTGCTCTGCATGATTGCCCACGCTCCTTGTACTCTGGCCTCTTCCAAGCTTTCTCAAGGCCAGTCTCCTGCAGCGCCTTCCCAGCGGTGGGGTCCACCCCTCCACCCCAGCACCTGCGGAAAGCCCATAACAACGGGAAGACACGATCCTGACACCCACCTCACTACCTGGCCCCCCGAGCTAAGGCCAGAGACAAGAGAAACTTAGTGCGGTCCTTAATGTGAAACAAAAAAAAAAAAAAAAAAATTAAGAAAAGAAAATGGATGGCGGAGCATGAGTCCAATGTAAAGAAAAAGAAACTGAAATCGTGAGATACCAAATAGCAGATAACCCGAAATTAACACAAGCTGGTTTAGGACCAAACGTTTCTAAGGATTTGGGCTCTGTCGGGAACTCAGAACACAGGAGCCCACAGTGCAGCACCTTAGCCTGCCCTGGACTTGAAGCCACGTCCTTCTGACCCTTTCCTGGGCTCTCCTCTCTTCCGAATCTTTGCTTTCCCGAAGCCAGTCATAAAATCAGAATTCCTCTTCCCCAAGTGGATCACGTACAACAGACCCCTGTCCTCCCAAACAAGCTACAAAGCTAGAAGTCTACTCCCCTCTCTCTGAGGGAAGACTCATTCCGATAGGAGGAAATGCTGTACAGGGTGAAGAATCCAGACAGGCTGGGATCCTGGGAAGAGGACCCTCTACAGAGGAACTACATCCATCCCGTATGCATGCCTGTCTGTGGCTTTTCTTGATTGCTAATCTGTTGTTCTGTAGTGTGTAGACATGTCTTGTCTTTTTTCTTTTTCTTTCTTCTTTTTTTTTTGGGGGGGGGGGTTAAGTATTTAGAGACAGGGTTTCTCTGTTCTCTGTGTAACAGAGGGGGCTGTCTGTAGACCAGGCTGGCCTTGAACTCACAGAGATCTATCTGCTTGTGCCTTCTGAGTGCTTAAAGGTGTGAACCCCACCATCAACCAGCTGTGGGCATTTTCTTGATTGCTAATTTATGCAGGGGAGCTGGGCCTACTGTGGGCAGTATGCCCCTTAGACGGGGCTGCCTGAGAAAAGTAGCTCAAAGGGACCCTGACAGGAAGTGGGTCAGCTGCGCTCCTAGCGGGTTTCTGCTTCAGGTTCCTGCCTTGGCGCCCAGCCTTGATGGGCAGTAACCAACAAATTAAAAGAGACCCTCTCCTTCCCAAGTTGGTTTTTTTTTTTTTCTGGTTTTTCGAGACAGGGTTTAACTGTAGCTCTAGAGCCTGTCCTGGAACTAGCTCTTGTAGATCAGGCTGGACTCAAACTCACAGAAATCCGCCTGCCTCTGCCTCCCGAGTGCTGGGATTAAAGGAGTGTTCCACCACCGCCTGGCCAGAAACAGCTTCTTGCAGGCTGACCATGTCACTTCAAGTCCCCAGGCTTCCAGACTTTTCCCAGATACTCAAGGCTATAACAAAACATTTTCAGCATTAGAAGAGGCTGTGTGTAAGAACACAAGCTTGTAAGAAACTTTCCCAAACTTTCGTAGAGCATAGGTACCAAGTGGGAAGAATTTTTCAGCCCAAGTGGGAACAGTTTTTCAGTCTCCTGGAGAGTGGTTTGTGACAAAAAAAGGCAACACCCACTTTGAAAGATCTGAAAGCACAGTTTCCTGCTGGCCTCAAAAAGCTGTCAGCTTGCCATATATTGATTTTCTTATGTTTAGATACGTTCCTTATACACCTGATCTCTCCATGACCTTTATCATGAGGGGCTGCTGGATTTTGTCAAATGCTTTTTCAGCATCTAATGAGATTATCCTATTTTTTTCTTTCAATTTACTTCTGTGGTGAATTACATTGATAGATTTTTGTATGTCTAACCATCTGTGCATCTCTGGGATGAAACCAACTTGATCATGATGGATGGATTGAGGTTTCTGATGTATTCTTGAATTCAGTTTGCCAGTATTTTACTGAGTATTTTCACATCAGTGTTGATGAGGAAGATTGGTCTATAATTCCTCTTTATTGGTTGATGTCTTTTGTGGGTTGGGTATCAGGGTAACTGTACCTCAAAAGAGTGTGGCAACGTTACTTCTGTTTCTATTGTATGGAACAGTTTGAGGAGTATAGGTATTAGCTCTTCTTTGAAGTTCTGGTAGAGTTCTATGCTGAAACCTATGTGGGATATATGTTTTATTACCATTGGTTAATAAAGAATATGCTTTAGCCTATGGCAGGGCAGAACATAGCAAGGCAGAAAATCCAAGCAGAGATCGAGACAGAAAGAAGTCAGAGTCAGGGAGACACCATGTAGCTGCCGAATGAGAAAGAAGCCAGAACCTTACCGGTAGGCCACAATCTCATGGTGACACATACCTTAATAAAAATGGATTAATTTAAGATGTAAGAGCTAGGCATATATTTAAGCCATTGGCCAAACAGTGTTGCAATTAATATAGTTTTGCGTGATTATCTGGGTTTGGGTGGCCAGTAAACTAAAGTACAGTCTCCACTTGCAGAAACCATCAGGCCTGGGCTTCTTTTTGGTTGGGAGGCTATTGATGACTGCTTCTATTTCCTTGCAGGTTATAGGTCTATTTAAATTATCCACTTGGTCTTCATTTAATTTTGGTATATGATACCTATCCAGAAAATTGTCCATTTCTTTTACATTTTCCGATTTTGTGGAGTATAGGTTTTTGTAGTATGACCTAATGATTCTCTGGATTTTCTCAGTGTCTGTGGTTATGTCTCTCTTTTCATTTCTGATTTTATTAGTTTGGATGTTCGCTCTCTGTCTCTTGATTAGTTTGGATAAGGGTTTGTCTATCTTGTTGATTTTTTGCTCTGTGTTTCATTGATTCTTTGTATGGTTTTCTTTGTTTCTATTTTATTGATTTCAGCCCTCAATTTGATTATTTCCTGTCTTCTACTCCTCCTGGGTGAGTCTGCTTCTTTTTGTTCTAGAGCTTTCAGGTGTGCTGTTATGTCATGAGTGTAAGATTTCTCCACTTTCTTTATGTAGGCTCTTAGTGTGCAATGAACTTTCCTCTTAGCACTGCTTTCATAGTGTCCCATCAGTTGCAATATGTTGTGTATTCATTTTCATTGAATTTTAGAAAGTCTTTAATTTCTTTCTTTATTTCTTCTTTAAACACAAAGTCATTGAGAGCAAGGTACTGATTATATAAAGCTACAGTAATTTTTAATTACTCTGTGTGTGTGCATGCATCTCTAGCATTTTGTTACAGTAGTAAAAACAGACAAACATTCTTCACATTTTTGAAAGCTGGAAATAATCTTACTATTTCCAAATGATAATAGAAATGGGTTTTTTGGTGATAAATACAAATATTTATTACGAATCGTGCCATTGAAGCAATATCTCAAGTCTAACAGAATGGAGATGTAATGAATGTTTCTGGAGATAACTTTAAACCCCACAAGTAAAATATCAGGAGCAAAAAACAAAATTTCCCCTTCGGGCAATTGAATGTTTTCTAGGATGAGTGATTTCTGCCAGTACTGAAATACAAACTTAATTTTGTTGTTGTTTTAAGACAGGGTCTCACTGTCCAGCCCTGGATGGCCTGAAACTATCTATGTAGACCAGGCTGATCCTGAACTCACAGAAATGCCACCTGCTGTCCCGCGCTACCGTCTCGCCAGCAAGAACGACGCGGCACATTCAGGATCCTTCTGCAGAAAAGCTTTATGCGTCTTGAGAGGGAGAGCATAAGCTTACAGAGCGAAGACCTCAAGGGTCAAAAACCCGGCCCTTATATAGCTTAACAGTCCTCGCCTCGGACGTGTCAAACTCTGACTGGCTGCAGCCTGTCAAACCCTATGACGCCACGGGAGAGGCAGAGAACAAGGGATGGAAAGCTACTATGTGCATGCGCACTGGCTTGACAAGGTAAACTGTCATTTACCATGCACATGCGCACTGGCTTGATTACAGTGGTGGTGCTGATGGTCAGCATCATCTTGCAATGGAGTATGTGGGAACGGCTCCCCACAACCTGCCATCTGAGTGCTTCGGTTAAAGGTGTGTGTCACCATGCCTCGCTTGAATTTAATCTTGTTTCCAGGTCATGAAACATGTCAGAATAAAACTGCTAGGAACAGTTCTTAAGACGAGCCTCTCCGCCCACGTAAATAATTCAGTTCCAATCAGACCAGATTAGATCAAATAAAAGATGCCCACGTTTAATGCAGCGCTCCAGGGTGGCCAGGAGACCATGGTGAGGGAGAGGTGTGGGGTGGGGGGAGAAACCATTCTGGGAGGCAGAATAGCCTGTGGAAGTGGCCCTGACCCTCCCTGGGGAGGGGTCAATGCTCGGCAGGCTTTCCTAGAGGAGAAGTCTGGACCAAAGCGACTCCCAGGGGAGGGGGTGGATAACGGTAATCGTACAAGTACGTGGGTTGAGACAGGAGATCAGGATCCGAAGGGCAGCTGGGCTGCACAATGAGACCCTATTTCAAGGGACGCAAAGAAAATGAGTAAACAAACAAGAAAAAAATGTAATAGAAAGAAAATGCTGGCCTTTACCAGGTGTGTTTGGGGAAGGGATGCCCGGAAGGAATCAGTAAATGCTTGGCACTCTTAGCAAAGTAGACTTCAAGAAAACAGCCCCTGGGGGCTGGAGAGATGGGTCAGAGGTTAGGAGCACTGACTGTTCTTCCGAAGGTCCTGAGTTCAATTCCCAGCAACCACATGGTGGCTCACAACCATCTGGAATGAGATCTGGTGCAAAATACAGTATATATAATAAATAAATAAATCTTTAAAAAAAAAAAAAAGAAAACAGCCCCTCCGCTCTGAGAACCTGGGGTGTTTGGATTGCCACGCAAAGAGGAATCAAGTGAAATTAGCCCACAGGGTCAAGACAGAGGCATCAGCAGGGCTCCCCGGGTTGACAACAGTCAGAGGCCATCCACAGAGAATAGGAACAAAACCTCTCCCACAGAGCCACTCAGCCTTCATAAACACACACAGCAAGATTTTTGTTTTGTTTGCTTTTGTTTTTGGAGACCAGGGTTTCTCTGTGTAGTCCTGGCTGTCCTGGAACTCACTTTGTAGACCAGGCTGGCTTCGAATTCAGTGATCTGCCTGCCTCTGCATGCACGCACACACGCATACACACACACACACACACACACACACACCGGTGCTGGCATGAAAGGCTTGCGCCACCACTGCCCAACATAAAAACGAATTTTAAGATTTTGCATGGAAGAATAAAAAGACACAAATTGAAATTCTTTTTTTTTTTTAAGGAAAACAGTATTTTATAAATGTTGACAGTTATTTGGGCTCAAAGTTATAACTTGCATGTGGTTTCTCTGGCCTAGTCTTCAAAATACGCAATGCAAGACTCCTCTAAAGAACACTTGACCACGTCGACTTCTCCACCTCCGTTGTTCCTTCTTTGGAAGTGAATGTTGATTAAATCCTCCACATCCTCTTCATCCATCCGAATGCCTTTTAATCCAGTCAGAAGTACGGTCCTCTTCGATACGGCGGAAAACACCTGTGGAAGAAAACCAGCTTGTGAAAGAAGGGCATTTTCAGACAAGAGCATGTCAGAGGGAGGCGAGTTTGAGACAGATGACCGTGGTGTTATGAAAATAAAGGGGGTTGGGTGGGCAGCTCAAAGTAGAGAAGGAGTCTGTGGGTAGTCAGAGCTGTGACTGGCAATGCCAGGGACCAGAAGAATGCCAGAGGATCTCAAAAGTACCGACTAAAATATGGATCGTCAGTAGGTGCGATGGCACACGCCTGTCATTCCAGAACTCTGGAAACTGAGGCAGTAGGATGGTGGTACTGCGGTTAAGATACATGCAACCCTGTCTCAAAAAAAAATGTGAGTGAAGGGGAAACTCGGGGATAGAGTGATTACATAAAATATTTACATGAAGGCCTGGATTCAGTGCTCAGTACTCCCCCAAAATATGTGTGTGTGTGCGCACACACATTTGCTGTAGCTTTCAGGGGGATAGAGAGATACTCAGAGGTTAAGAGCACTGGCAGCTCTTCCAGATGTCCTGAGTTCAATTCCCAGCCACCTCATGGTGGCTCACACCCTTCTGTCATGAGCTCTGGCGCCCTCTTCTGGCCCACAGGCATACATGCAGGCAGAACGCTATACATAATATAAGAAAGTGGGTAGACAAAAGTTGGTAGGCAGTATTGCCATTCCACAGCTGAGGAGGAATAGGAAACAGGAGCAGGTTTGAAACAAAAGGGAGCTGAGTGACAGGAAGCAGAATTGTGTCTGAAGCCCAGTGATTGACAGGCACACAAGGAAAATATCTCTAAGTAAGTCTCTATTTACAAAAATAAGAATTAGTTTTAATTTTTTATTTTATTTTCTAATTTACTTTTAAAACAATCTTTTCTCATTTTACATACCAATCCCAGTTCCCTCTCCTGCTCTCCCCACCTTCCACCCACCCCACCCCCAACCCACTCCTCAGAGAGGGTAAGGCTTCCCATGGGAAAGTCAACAAAGTCTGGCATATCGCTTTGAGGCAGGACCAAGGCCCTCCCCACTATATCTAGGCTGAGCAAGGTAGTCCTCCAGGGAGAATGGGCCCTAAATAGCCAGTTCAAGCACTAGGAATAAATCCTGGTCCCACTGGCCCCACAGACTGCCCCAACCACACAACTGTCACCCCCATTCAGAGGGCCGAGTTTGGGGAGTTGGTAAGCTCCCACTATCTCAGTTCAACTGCTCCTATATGGGTAACCCCATCATGATCTTAACCCACGAATTAGTTTTATAATTATCTAAGTGATTTCAGGGTTTTGCAGGAAGGTGGGGAGTCATTGTTTGCATAATGGGGAGGCAGGCTCTAGGGTCTTGCGCAAGTTAGGATTCAGGCATTATGGTGGCCTCTGGCACCTGGCAGGATGCACCCAGGCACTACCAGCCCAGGTTCTATGGCTGCCACAACCCTATATGGTCTGTATACAAGTTCCGCCCAGTCCAGCTCTCTTCCCACCTTTCTCCTGAAGCAAGGCAAGAGCAGGTCTCTGCCTCCCTCCCTCCCTCCCTCCTTTTCCACCACTCCTGTCTCCAGAGACCAGTCTCCTCTCTCCCCTTCCCCCTTCTCAAAATAAACTCTCCACATAAGTTCTGTGTGAGGCATAGTTGTCTTTATCCCGCCTGCCATGAGGCCTCTGAGCTCTCATTCACCAAGGTCCCTCTCACACATAATCATTACACCCTGTACCCTTATTTTTTTGACTTCTTATTTTGAGACAGGATCTTAAGGTTGCCTGAGTTACCTCTGAAGTCTGTAGCCAAGGACGACATTAACTTGAAAACCTCCCGCCTCAGCTTCCTGAATGGCTGGGATTCCAGGACTGCACCACCAGGCCCGGCACCAGTTTGTTTGTTTGTTTGTTTGTTTTTAAAGGCAGAGCTTTGCATTAATATATCGTTAAAAATACAAACTCATTCTGCACGGACCAAGCAAAAGTGAAGAGACCGCTTCGACAGCCCTCCCTGAGAAGCCGAGTGTTGCAGACAGCTCGTTCCGTGGTCTTTGTGTGTAGTGGCGGAACAACGAGATATCGCCCGGAAGGAAGAGCGGTAACTGTACCTGGTACTTTTCCAAGCGTCTCTCTATAAAGGGGGAGACTGTAACTTGATAGCACTTTGGATTCATATAAAGAGGGAAGGTTTTCTTCTTCAAAATCTTGTCGGCAACTGAAAATCAGCAAGAAGAAAGTGTTTTCTCATAACCATGTATCACTTATAAATAAGCATAAATAAATAAACATAAACATTTATCATAAACATTTTAAATCACAGTGAAGCTTCTCTCGCACGGAATCCTACCAAAGAAGCATCCAAGTGGGCAGTTAATTCGTAAAGAACTCTACAGCCCGTATCGAAGGCTTCACAGTAATCATTCTGAGAAACGCAGTCTACACAATAAGGAAACCGAACCTCCTGTCTTAAGCATCCAAATATGAGAGGGACAAAGGTGGCACAAATCCACTTCTATGAAGCGTTTAGGACAGGGAAGTTTGTGGAGACCAAAGACTCGGAGATCCCGGGGACTGAAAGAGGAAGCGAAGAGGATTAATTGTCTAATGAGTGACGTTTCTACTTAAGATGACAAAATGCTCTGAGGATGAAAACTGGTCATGGCTGCACAATACTGTGAGTGCATTTACTCAATGCCAGGAAACTGCACACATTTCTTCCATTAATTTGGTGTGTGCCCGTGTATGTACGTATGCATGCATGTCACCATGTACATGTGGCCATCGGAGAAGAACAAGAGGGAACTGGTTCTCTCCTCCTACCAGACATTGATTCATCACAGATCGGCAGCAGACACTCACTGGCTGAGCCACCCTGCAGCCCCTAGATAGTACGATTCAAGTGTTTCAAATGGTAAGTGGAGGCAGGAGCAGAGGACAGAGGAACGAGGAAAGACCCTCAGCTGATTAGGCCTACCCCAGGCCCACCTGGGCCGGGTTATGACCTAGGTGACGTTGGCTGTCTTGTTTGGCTTGCTTCTGAGAAAGACAAGTAGTTACAACGCCTGCCTGGTTAGAATAAGGCCGTCAGACACTGCTTATGAAGTGACCAGAAGACGTTTTACTCTTTTAGAATTACCTAAACATGTAGCTTTTGGTTAGACACCACTTCCAGGAAGGACTCCCCAGAGAAGAAAACAGCACAGATTTCCAAGCTAACAGAGTGTCAAACTGCACTGTGATTTATAATGGAGTTCCTCCTGGATATTTCTCAATACAAGGAATAGAGAGACTGACATCAATCAGATAAGATTTGGAAAATTTGGAAAAGTCAGGGTGGTGCACAGCTTTAATCCCAGCACTTGGGAGGCAGACGCAGGCGGGTCTCTGTGAGTTCAAGGCCAGCCTGGTCTACAGAGTGAGTTCCAGGACAGCCAGGAGTGTTTCACAGAGAAACCCTGTCTCAGGGTGGAAAAAAAAATTTAAAAAATTAAAAATTAAAAAAAGATTTGGAAAGTTTAAAGCTGGATCCTTGGCTACGGAAATTCCACCAAGTTGGAATTGCCCTTCATTTCAAAAGCAACATGTTCCAGCTGCACTGAAACGCAGGGCTTTCTCACTAGGACACACTCTACCTGGGGCTCATGCGCATTCCTCAAAGACCCAGGTCAAAACCGCGCAGTGGTGGGTTTGCATGAGCCCGGAGAAAAACCTCCCCTACTAACCAGGACTACTTGTACACCAAAGGAAAGGGAATTTCGAGGAGATTACTCAACCCTTCGCTGTCATCATTATGACTTCTTTTTTAAAACACATATTATTTTCATGCAAAAAAAATAATCTAGTCAGTCCATGTTTTAATGACATCGCAGGATTTCTATGATTCAGAAACTCAGGAGAAACCCTAGGACCATACTAATGAGAAAAGCAGAGGTGTGCATGAAGAATCAGGCGGAATTGCTCTGTGGCACACCACCGTGTGATTTTAGGGATATCTGTTTTCTCTAGACCTCTGCCTCCTGTGAGTGACATGAACGCATCACCTATGTCAGAGCTATGATGAGCACAGACTGTAATGATAAAATGAGGGGACACTCGCATCCGCTGTCCTCCTGACACACGATGGCACACACGCATCCACTGTCCTCCTGACACACGATGGCACACACGCATCCACTGTCCTCCTGACACATGATCTCACACACGCATCCACTGTCCTCCTGACACACGATCTCACACACGCATCCACTGTCCTCCTGACACACGATCTCACACACGCATCCACTGTCCTCCTGACACACGATCTCACACATGCATCCACTGTCCTCCTGACACACAATTGCACACACGCATCCACTGTCCTGACACACGATTGCACACACGCATCCACTGTCCTCCTGACACACGATCGCACACACGCATCCACTGTCCTCCTGACACACGATCTCACACACGCATCCACTGTCCTGCCTGACACACGATCTCACACACGCATCCACTGTCCTCCTGACACACGATTGCACACACGCATCCACTGTCCTCCTGACACACGATTGCACACACGCATCCACTGTCCTCCTGACACACAATTGCACACACGCATCCACTGTCCTACCTGACACACGATCGCATCAAATAAGGGTAAGAAAACATCAACTGGACCAACAAGATGACTCAACAGGTAAAGGTCCTTACTGCCCAAGTCCAAAATCTGAATTCAACCCCAGGATCCTCAGGGTGGAAGAAAGAACCAACTGACGTAAGCTATTTTCTGACCTCCACACTAGCGCCACAGTATGCACACATGCGCAGACGCCTGCGCGTTAAATAAAGAATTCTAAGAAAATAAGGTTTTTTTTAAAAAAAAAATAGTGTTCCAAAGAAGAAAACTCCCCCCGATTATTATGCATTTCAAATACACAAATGGGCAGAAACTGTGCAATGGCGGAGTGTCTGCGTACCTCCACTTTCCAGGAACGTGATGACAGCGCTCCCCGCCTTCCTGTCGTAGTCTATGCTTTCCACCTCGCCGCCTCCGTTCACGGACTTGTAGAAGCTCAGCTCCAGCTTGTCTCTCGTCTGCTCCTCCGGCAGTTCATCAGGGATTCCCGTAACATTGATCTTCATCTTAGAAACGTCCACATGAACCTGGGAAAGCATTTCAGCGTCACAAGTAAGAAGAACGCCTGTGCCCGACAGAGTGGCTGAAGCCACTCTCCATGACGGTCTCACCTGGAATCTGACGCCCAGGCTTAGCGGGACTGCTTGCGCGGTGACCACCAAGGAGTTCCCCTCCAGCTGCACCACGTGCTTCCCCATCGTTATCACATTCTGCGCAACTGAAACACAATTTTAGAAGCAGACAGTCGTGACGTCCGAGAAAACCTTACGCGTTTTATCCAAAGTCGCGTTGTTGTCTTTTTTTATGTTCTTCAATTTTGTATTTATTCTATTTATGTATGTGGGGGAGGTGTGTTCTTGTGAGGGGCATATGGGTGAAGGTCAGAGAATAGCTTGTGGGAGCTGTGTCTTTTTCCAGCATGTTGGTACCCGGGATGGAACTCAGATCAGCAGGCTCAACAAGGGCCTCTATCTGCTGAGTCATCTTACTGGCTCCATTTTCTTCGATTTTAAAGAATCAAGTTTTAGCATTTTTCTTGGGATTTCCAGGTTTCAGTAGTCTTACCTCCAAAGTAGGAAAACTCAGTGTCACCATGTGTAAGCGAAAATGGCAATACAGAGATTTTTGAGATTCTAAATTCATCTTAAGGGACGACTCTATCATCCTCTCTCTTACATCAGCCTAAGAATTCTGCAGATTCTTTATACTGACAATCCAGACACACACTCCCTCTCCACAGCACTACCAGGGAATCCCCCCAGGGCAGTAAACTCAGCCAGAATGTCCCCATTCATAAGCTAGGAACACTTTTGTGGGCCACTGTCGTTTTTATCACCGTTTATCTCGCTTCGTCTTTGCCAATGTTCTTATGTTACCAGCACCAAAGCAAGAGCTCTTTTCTGTCTCTGTCTTTCCAAAAAAGACATACTGCTTTGTTGTTTTTTTTTTTTATAAGCACGCTTTAAAATATTGAGAGCAACACTGTATCATCACATAGATGGGAGAGGCTCTGTAATACAACCACACCAAAGCCAGGAGAAGTTCAAAGAACCATGCCATACTTCTTTAAGATGAATATAGGGAGGGGTTTCTTTTTGTTTGTTTGCCTTGTTTTGTTTTTCAAGGCAGGATTTCTCTGTGTAGTTTTGACTGTCCTGGAACTCACTATGTAGACCAGGCTGACCTTAAAGTCACAGAGACCTGCCTGCCTCTACCTCCCGAGTGCTGGGATTAAAGGCATGCGCCACCACCCAGCCAGGAGTTTCTTCGTAACTGTGCGCTATGACTTTATAAAACTCCAGCTGTTGCTATGTGAGCCACTTATTCTAATTTATCATGAAGATAAGAGATGATTGCTTCCTCTCTTATAAACTTCATGTGTGTTTATGACAACCAGGGAGCACACCCGAGGCTGGGGAAGACACAAGGCTGGAAGTCAGGGCGTTGTCGGGTGGGAATTCAGACTCACTATACCACAATATGACTCTAGAATTTAGATGCTTTTTGTTTTGTTTTGTTTTGCTAATGGCAACAGATGACAATAACAGAAAACATCAATGAAGTAATACTCAGATGACCCTCTCATTATCCCCAAACCCCTAACATCTGGCGATCTAACTCAACAGAGAGGGACCACTTATATTCCAACTTTAGTTACTGCGACTGTCAAACTAACCCCTGTTTACTTCTGTTTCCCTGGCACTGTGTCCTGGCTTGGGGACTCCAGAACCACATCAAGGGAGCAAGCAGCATCAAGGCTGCTTCTGAAGCGACTCCTACATCTAGCAAGTCCAGGAGACTGCCATGTAGAAACCTGTCCTCAGATCCTCCCCTATGTCTTCCAGTAACATGCCAGTGACTGCCTATTACCAGCAAAGCTCCCCCTCGACTGTGGGCATGGTTCCAGGGGGAACAAAATGACGCTGTGGGTGGATGCCTCATCTCTGCTTGCCTTGACCTTCTGTAAGCTTCCTTTGAACATTTATTTCCAGGTCAGACTGACGAGCCAGATGCCAGAAGACACAGGTTAAAATCACAGCTTCTAAGGATCTAAGCGTGAAATGATCCTGAAGACCACGTTGGCACATCCCGTAGCTTTGCAGTCAGAACGAAAGCCACGAAATAGTGGCCTTCCCTCAGGAATGTTGGCCCAGGAGGATGTGCACAGGCACTTAGGGTACCCTCTCAGCTCTAGAGTTCAGCAAAGAAAGTTCTTCGATAGGCTTCTGTTTCCTTCTCTGGCATACCCCTCACACATAGCAACCATGGCAGCTGACATGGGTGTGTTGTGTGCGTTCAGTTAAACTATCACAAAGCCTGTCACCAAAATCTGAGGCTTACAAAGAACGCAGCTCATACCTCAAGAGGAGACAAAGCCAGCACTCAAATTCTCCTCACAAAGGAAACCAAGCCCTGAAGGGGCCCATACATTTTTGAACTTGGCCAACATCAGGTCCCAAACCTTTCTATTCCTGGGTTCAATCTAATCACTGGGTCACTAATCACTAAATCACTTAAGCATCTTCAGACTCTGTTTTCTTACCAATCAAATACATCCAATAATTATTTTCATTATCCTGTATTTATAGAATTGTACAAGTATGAAAGGATATGTCCCAGAGAACACCGGATAAGTAAAGTCTGCCACTTTTATACTCCCAAAGTTGTATTTATTCATTTACTTTTTTATTTGAGATAGGGTCTCACTATATAGCCCTGGCTGACCCGAATCTAGGTAGGCCAGGCTAGCCTCAAACTCACAGAGATAGGTCTGCACCTGCCTCCCAGGTGCTGGTATTAAAGTTGTGCACTGCCCTGCCTAGCAAGTTCTACTTCTTTATAATATTATTATAACATTCTAATATGCTTATATCATTTAAGGGACATATGTACTGGAAAGAGGCTTACACTGGATATCCCAACTCCTATATTTTATTTCCAGAGCCATTACTTTTTGAATGTGTGATAAGCATGAATCCTTTAATATCACTGCACACATAACACTGTGAGTATTCCACATAATTATATATAATATTATATATCATAGTTATTACCTCATTATATATCATAGGTAATAAAACCAACACATCTAATATACTTAATGCCTGGATTCCGTCTCTGTAAATTGAGACTATCAATTGTCTCTGCCTCCAAACGCCACTATGAAGATAAGAAGAAACAGCAAACACAGACTGCCAAGTGACAGCCGGACATCTGCGGAAGATCTCTGAAGGTCCAAGTGCTTGTAAAGGTGACACGCTCATGTTTTTAAGATCAGTCATACCTTCTTCCTTCTCAAAGGTGATAAGTGCTTGTCCTTTCTGGAGCTCATAGAAAATTTGTGAGCTCACTTGGAATGAGCAGGAGCTATTTGAGAACTGGCCACCATCCTCGGAACTCTTCATTGAAGTGAACTTAAGCTTTCTTTCTGGTATATTCTCTTTAATCTAATTAAGACAGATGCATTTGATTAAAATTAAGACAAGACGTAACAAGTCCTTCCAATGATGGTATGATTGATCTAGTCATCCAATAATTCATTCTCCATTGACTGTAAAGCTTTATGGTATATTGACTGTAGTCTTATATAACATCTATAGTAATTGCTTCTTCCCACAAAGCTTCTCAGTAAGGTAATCAAATGTTGATCCTTTAATACCATCTTGTTGAAATCGTAAGTATATAATCCTCTCACTTTTCCTAAGCAGTGTTTAAGTTGATTGACATTGTCCAATCGTAAATCCCCACTGTTTATGTAAAATAAGTGCCTCATTGTGGAATAATCTTTTCACACACTAAGATGAGTCTTTGCCAAGGCACCTTCTGATTGGTTTAATAAAGAGCTGAATGGCCAATAGCTGGGCAGAAAGAGGTTAGGCGGGACTTCTGGGCAAAGACAGCAGAGGAAGAGATGAATCTAGGTGCAGAAGAGACTCCAGAGGACACAGGAGGTGCAAGACGGGAAGCAAGGCAAAAGCCAAGAGGCAAAATGTAGATTAATATAAATGGGTTAATTTAAATTATGAGGTAGTGAGGACAGTGATAGCTTCAGTACTGTCTACAGCCTGGCGAGTCGAAAAGAAACAAGGGGTCAAAGCTTATTAGAAGATTCAAATACAGGAAAATTTAGGAGAGACTTTAAATGGTACAGATCGATACATGCCCAACTTCTTTGTTCTGAGACGAGGACTCTCTGTATATCTGTATAGCCCTGGCTAGCCTGGAGTTTGCTCTGTAAACCAGGCTAGCCTCCCACAGGGATTCTCCCTGCCTCAGTCTCCCAAGTGCTAGGACTAAAGGTGTGTGTCACTATGTCCAGATCATGCCAAACTCTTTAAACTCTGAGATTCACTTAAATTACTCCCGCATGAGAGGGGAAGACAGTAAATGCAGTGAATGAGAAAACCAGATGTTTGACCCAAGAGTGATCTGCAATAAGCAATGCTGGGTTTTTTTTAACTTTTATTAATTTATGGTTTTGTAAGTTGTATCATGCTAGCCATAGGTGGTAGGAAAAATATGCATCATAAGTATAGTACATGAAGAAATCACGATGCTAATATGCAACACTAGGTAGAACTACTGAAGTCCTCCTAGTTTCCCAAGGGAAACCTGCCTCTGGGATGAACCACTATATCTCTCAGGGCACACTTATTTAAACGGGAGCATATAGAATGTCTTCCTCTGCCTTTTACGTATCGATGTCATGTTTGTTACATTCATGCACGCTATATATAATTGTTTGTCCTTGATTTGGTGTAGAATTGAATTGTATGGGTATAGAGTGATTCACTATTCATTCTACTATGGAGGAACACTTGAGTTTTTCTCCATTCGGGGTTGTTACAAACAGTAGCCCAAGTCGGACAAGGCGGCACACTCCTTTAAATGCCAGTGCACAGGAGGCAAAGGCAGGTAGATCTCTGTGAGCTTGAGGTCAACACGGTCAGTATAATGAGTTCAAGACCAGCCAGACCTCAAAAACAAAAGCAAACACTGGTGTTATGAGTGGCCCTAATGCTTTAGAATTAATCGTGTTTTGTTTGAAAAGTACATGTCCATTAAAATATACATAAAATAATCACAGTACTTGGAATTCTCTGGCGTCCGAGTGTAACTCCGCTTCAAGTCTTTTGATCTCCTGTTCTAGCTGTATGTTTTCCTTTAAAATTTCATGAATTAATCCCTAAAAAATAGCAAATAATAGAAAAAATTAAATACCTTTGCGATCCCTTTCCTAAATTAATTAAAAGATGTAAAGCCCACCCCCCACCCCCGACCCAAAGGCTAAACAACCTTAGGACAGCCTCAGAATAAGTATGCCGACTTCATAGTGCATATGCTTAGCATCTAATTCCAGTGCATGATGGGCCTTCCTTTGTTGTTGTCGTTGTTTTGTTTTTAATGACTTAGTTTTTTATTTCATATGCATTGATGTTTTTCCTTGCCTGTATGTCTGCATGAGGGTGTCATGTCCCCTGGAGTTACAGACAGTTGTAAGCCAGTATGCGGATGCTGGGAATTGAACCCACATTCTCTAAAAGAGCGAGCAGTGCTTTTGTCTGCTGAGCGATCTCTCCAGCACCCAGTGGTTCTGCTAATTTTACCAAGATTCGTTAGCTCTGTTATATGAACAAAGAAACTGTTATCTTCTACATTAGACACGGAATTTTTTATGAAGACAAGGAGTGAGACTCAGACCTTCTAGACTTCTTTAAACTCTTTCTAAGCTGTCTACAACTATCACACAACTTTTAGTTGCACTATGATTGTGAACACATTACACTGAGGTCGTTCTTCGTTTGTTTACTTTTTGTCTCGTTTCGTTTTTTGTCTGTTTTATTTTTTTTGGCGGGGTTTTTGGTGTTTGGGGTTTGTTTATCAGCAATAATTCCAACAGTAGCCAGCCGCTTTGACAAGCCCAACACGGGCCTTGCTATCAGCTCTGAGCACCTGAGCCTCTGTTCCCACCTGGATCTCATTTGGTCACTGCTCACATTTCACATCCTGGGAGAAACCCGAAAAAGAAGGAGGGGAGGGAACAATTTTGGTAAGAAAATAAATGGGAGCACAACTCTCAGTGTAAAGCTCTTACAATGGAGCAAATGTTAAGGATCTCTTGGAAAGCCCAGTAGCCCCACGACGCCAATGTATTGCTTGACACAGACAAAGGCGCACCTTAAAAGGAACAGACACAAGTCATTCTTTTTTTTTTTTTTTTTTTTTTTTTGGTTTTTTGAGACAGGGTTTCTCTGTGGTTTTGGAGCCTGTCCTGGAACTAGCTCTTGTAGACCAGGCTGGTCTCAAACTCACAGAGATCCTCCTGCCTCTGCCTCCCGAGTGCTGGGATTAAAGGCGTGCGCCACCACCGCCCGGCCACAAATCATTCATAACAGCAACTACAATTTTCCTTCATACCTCGTTTTGTTCACGTTCCAAAATTTCTATATCTGATGAGAGTTCTTCATAAGCTTGCTCTTTGTTGTCCATATCAGCATCCATGATTCTTTAATAAAAAAAAAAATGGGGGGGAGGGGCAATGCTTTTACAATTGGATACTATACAAATTCAAGAAAAAAGAAATAAGAGCTTTTACCCTTCCGTTCAAGAAGCATGTCTTCTTTGCTCTGTGTGTGTGTGTGTGTGTGTGTGTGTGTGTGTGTTCGCGTGCGCGCGCATATGTGTGCGTGTGTTTTCATATCATCAAAGTCTCGTCATGTGACTTACAGCCAAACATCATCTGTAATCTGAAGAACTTCACATCTGTATTTGCATTGGAGGGGACACACACAGTAAAGGAGCCGCCAACGTGACTGCTCCACCTTACGGTTAAGGTCTTTACTGGGAACCGGAGAAAGTATCTAGGGGCAGCTGGGAGAGTCCAAGGCAGAGAGAGAAAGAAGTAGACTGAGCATGCCCGGCAGACTGGACACAGGCAGGGCTGTCTGTGAGAGAGGGGGAATAGCAGGGGATAGCGAAGAGAGAAAGCAGGCGACAAGAGCAAGCTTGGGTTGTACGGACGGTGAGTCACAAGGGCCAGTAGACCAGTGTGGGGACTTTGAGATGTATAGTACTTGTGAGTAGGGACTGAGGGAGCCTGGAGGCCTGCATGGATTTTGATATGTTCATAGATGCCACAGATTATGCTAATTAAAGAGTGGTAGGTCCCTTTTGCCAGCAGGAAGGGAAAGGACCCCTTTTGGCAGACAGAGCCAGCTTCCCAAGTTCCTGAAGAACACTGGCTTTTATCGAACGGCCAGAGATCCTCCTCCAGTCCAGGCTGCGCTCATTTCTGGATATTGGGACTCTCCTTCGGAGACTGAGGAACTGGAGTTTCCTTTGAACATATGGTTTAAAGGTGATAAAAATCCTTTGCTTTCAACTCAAGGGTACCCAGAAAGCAGTAGCAGACCGAGTCATTGTAGACATGATGAAATGTTGTTTTTAACCCAGTTTCTATAGAAGCTATTAAGCTGGCTGCTAGATTTCATGCTATATTATGATACAGTGGTACATATTAATATATTAATATTTTGAAGCTGGAGAGATGGCTTGGAGGGATAGACACTTGTGACCAAGCCCGACAACCTAAGTTCCATCTCTGGAAGCCACAAGGTGGAAGAGACCTGTCCTCTGCATGCACGCCCAAGGACCAGTTAACTTCCTGGAATGCTGGGAGTTGTAGTTCTTGGAAATAACCAGGCCAGAAGGGAAACAAGGTGGCCTTTTGGGTTTTCCCTTTAAAAGCCCCTGCAACACGTGTCTTGTGGCCACTCGCTGGAAACCCATAGGCAGACCTGATTAGAATCCATTTTTCTGCTCAGCACTTTATTGAAGTGCTGCTTCCAATTTGGCTCAAAATTGTGGAACTGGCTTTTCCCTCTCAAATCTCAGGATTAACAACACACACACACACACACACACACACCACAAAATAAGTACAAACATGTAATAAAAATAAATTAAAATTTTTCTTAAGTATCCTAGCATACCTATTTCAGCCTAATGGTTTACTTTGTAATTCTAAATATCTATATGTTTATTCATGCAGGAAAAAAATGTTTAAAGGAAACTCCATAAGGTTCACTTGTCTGGCAAAAGGAGTCAATGGCCCAAAAAATGGTGAAGAAGCCCTGCCTGCACATTAAATTAGCCAAAAAGCAAAATTCCCAGATCAAAAGAGCTTTAGATGCACATTAATAACTTGCATGCAATATACTTTTCAAAGATTCTGAGTGGTTAAAGTCTCAGCATTCTTGTAAGAGAAACAAACAAAACATCTATGTTTAAACTAAAAGACTGGGGAAAAAATAGCCATCTCTTAGTTTATCCCATATGAATAAAGGGATGTCAGGAAACATTCTTCACGGCATTTCCAGGGATTTCTAGCTCTATTCTCCAGTGAAAAGAACCAAGAAGCAAAGGCCGACTCTGGGTGTGGGGAAGGAAATGCACAAGATAAGCCTGTAATATCTGAGGTGACTGACAATTTAAAAGTACTTTCGAAAATATGACAGGAAAGCCAGGCAGTGGTGGTGCATGCCTTTAATCCCAGAACTCAGCACTCGGGAGGCAGAAGCAAGTGGACCTCTGTGAGTTTGAGGCCAGCCTGGTCTACAGAGCTAGTTCCAGGAAAGCTAGGGCTACACAAAGAAACCTTGTCTTGGAAAACCAATAAATAAATAGATAGATGGATAGATGAATGGATGGATAGATAGATAGATAGATAGATAGATAGATAGATAGATAGATAGATAAACAGGAAAAAGAATATGCCCCAAGGAAAGCAGCAGCCCCCAATTGTCAAAGACCCACTAAGGAAACTGACTGAACAAGTGGAATACATAGGGCATGCAGACAGGCACTTCCCCAAAAAAAAAACAGGAAAGGAATTGTCAACTCATTCCACAAAAGCAACATCATCCTGAAACCAAAACTGGATAGAGGCACACTGGACATAAAAGAACAAAATCTATAGACCAATATCCCTATTGAACGAAAACCAAATTCAAGAACACATTACTTCACATATAGGACAAGTTAGTCTCATTAGTTCAACATACATAAAGCAAGGAGTGCGATACAGCGTGTAAGTAGCCGCATAGCCAGAAATCACAGGACTGTCTGATTCAACATCGAAAACCTTTCAATAAAGCTCAAAGCTCATCCTTTCAGCAAAAAGGCCGGAAGAACCCAGGAATAGAAGGAATGTGCCTCCTCCACATAGAAAGGTTATGTGCAACAGACCTATGGCCAGCATTACAGAAGATGTAGAAGAACTGAAGGTGTTTCCTCAAAACTCGAGAATAGATGAAGGATGCCCAGTGAGTACAGCGCTGCACCATGTGAAAGCCCAAAAGGATGCAAATATGAAAGAGAGAGAAAGAGAGAGAGAGAGAGAGAAGGAGGGAGGGAGGGAGGGAGGGAGGGAGGAAGGAAGGAATCAGAGCATCCTTAGTTGAACATGACGTGATTCTTTATTAAAAACAACCCAAAAGACTCCACTGGAAATGCTTCCATCTGATTTTAGCAAAATATCAGGATACAAATATCAGTAGCTTGCCCGGTGTGGTGGTACACACCTTTAACCCCAGCACTCAGGAAGGAGAGGCAAGGAAGATCTCTATGAGTTGGAGGTCAGCCTGCTCTATATAGTAGTGGGTTCTGTATATAGGGTTACACAGTTAAGACCCTGTCTTAAAAAGTACATTAATTTAAAAATTCAGCTTTTTTGAATACCAATGACAAACTTGTTGTGGGGGGGGGGGGGAAGAGCAGTTAAAAAACCAAAACCAAAACAAAATACTTAGGAATAAATCTAATTAGGGACAATGAAAACTTTGAAATACTGAATAAAAAGATGAGTAAGACACTTGAGGATAGAAAGTCATCTCATGTTCATAGATTGGCAGAGCTATTATTGTGAAAATGACTTTGCTATCTGCAGATTCAGCGCAAATTTTCACCAGAATTCCACTGACATTCTTCACAGACCGAAAACAAATCAAAATTCCTAACATTCATGCAAGCATCAAAGGTCCCGAATAGCCAATGCAAAGAAAGGCCAATGCAGGAGGCATCAGCAAGCATGTGTGTAGTGTGCATACATACAGGCAAAACACCTACACACACAAGATGATTAAAAAATATAGACAAGGGGACTGGAGAGATGGCTCAGCGGTTAAGAGCATTGCCTGCTCTTCCAAAGGTCCTGAGTTCAATTCCCAGCAATCACATGGTGGCTCACAGCCATCTGTAATGAGGTCTGGTGCCCTCTTCTGGCCTGCAGGCATACACACAGACGGAAGGAACATTGTATACATAATAAATATATATTTAAAAAAATATATAGACAAAGGACTGAGAGAGAGAAGGAAGTGTCCTAAGAGAAGAAGAGCATCTGAGGGCACAAGAAGAGAACAATAGAGTATGTGTGCATATAAAGAGAACGTGTGTGTGTGTGTGTGTGTGTGTGTGTGTGTGTGTGATGAAAATAGAACGGGGAAGTACTTGGGGAACGGAGGGAATCAGGCCTCCCGAGAATATTAGTCCTTCTTTACAGCTTATGGGGCATTTTAGTTACAGCTGTCGTTTTCTATGAGTAATTAATAAATGTATAATTTACAGGCACTCCTTCTTGTGTTCATCCCAGAACTGTTGCATGCAACCCAGAACTGAGCATCTTACATTGTGTGTTTCATATGGGTATTTCTCTGCCCAGGACATTATGTGTATGTATTCCTCTTGGTGCATCTCTTTAAAAATTGCATTGTACTTGTTTTTAGATTGGTAAAACACAATATTCTTAAAAGCTCTTGCTGTGAGTGATCGATTGTGTAACACCCCCAGAACATCTTCATCAGATTCATCATCTGAATATCTTCCCTTTCGCACTGTGTGGGTTGGATGGGAATTCTTCCCTCTCAAGCAATCTTACTATAAGGAGAAAAAAATGACCCCCTCAAAGATGTCCGTGTTCTGGTCCCAAGAATTTGTGAAAACATTGGATCACACTTCAGGGAAGACTTAAGGCTGCAAACCCAATGCAGGATGGTAATTATTTCTTCTTTAAAATATAGAGATAGGAGCTGAGGAGATGGCTCAGGGGGAAAGTGCCTGGGCCCCCCCACAAGCACATCTAATTTTAAAATGACACTAAAATTTAATATTTTTTAAATTGAAAATAAATATTTTTAAATTGAAAAGTGTGTATTCATGCACATGTGTGTATAAGCCACCATGGCTTTGTAAATTATTATGACAGTAAATTTAAAAAAAGGAAAAAAAACTGTTCTTACTGCTATATTTAACATCACCATAGTGAGTCACACAGAGTGCCTGACAGCCTATAGGAAGAAAAAAACATAATGTATCCATTTCATATAGACCAGAAACTTGTGGAAAGATAGATTAAAATTTCAATAACTAAAAGGTCCTAACTGTGGGTTTTTTGCTTTTTGGGTTTGTTTTTTTTTTTTTTTTTTGCAATTTTACAATCAGGTAACACTTTTGAATAAAACGAAGTGGGTGATCTCTCTGAGAGTATTGGCACAGGCCTGTAACCGGAGGATCAAGAGTTCAAGACCAACACAATGAAAATAGAAAGCTGTCGTGTATATAGATACAGATACACACACACACACACACACACACACACACACACAAGTGTTTTCGTTGCTTGCAGAAGTTGAGTTTACAGACTGAGAAGAAAGTTGGGAAAAACAAAACAAAAACAGAAAGTGAACTGATCGATTCAAGGTTACATTCTTGATTGATTCAAGGTTATATTCTTCCCAAAGGGGGGCCAGGAAGAAAGAAAGAGAATAACTGGTTGGTGAATGTCTAGGTGCTTTTTGTCGGGATTAAAGCGGAGGTGATTTTATTCTCTTGCCGGGCGGGCGAAACCTGCTTTCCCTCTCCCCCAGTTGGGCAGGACACATGAGAAGTTCCCTTCAGGAGCACACAAGTTAGCAGGTGCAGGAGTCCTCTAAGTCCAAACTGGTGGCCTCCTATAATTCTTATTGAATCGTCTCCTTTTAATGTCTCCTTTTTTAAAAAAACAATCTTACATTTTCTGAAAAAGTGAGGTGTGATTTCTTGAGAAATCTGTTTTCCTAAGAACACTCATTTTAAGTTTCCTTTTCCCGGGAGAAAGAAGCACGGCCAGGCCTGAGCGCAATGCTCGCCCGCGGTAAGCGAGTCCCCAGGCAGCGCTCGGGGCTGGAAGCTGCGGCCGCCGCCCCACTTCCCCGCCCCCCCCCGCCCCCCCCCCCCCCCCCCCACACACACACAACACATACCGGGTGGAGCATCCCCTACTGCCGGGGACCGGGACGAGCACTCACCCCCTCTCCGCCACCGAGCAGCTCCAGGAAGCAGTGGCTTAGAACCGAACCCCAACGCGAAAACGCAAGCCGGGTCTCCGCGACGGTCACAGCTCATTCACCAGTGGTACTTTCACTTTCGATTGTTTTAAAAACAGGATGCTTCGGTTTCAAGTCCTGCGGACTTTGTCCCGGGCGCCATTGCTGATGTTCCTCTATCTCCACCCGAGTTCCAAGACATACTTTGAAAAGCATATACAAATATGCTTTTTGCCCTACGCGAAACACACTGATGAAAAACTGGCTGGCAACTAAAGTCTAGGCAGACAGAGCTCTCTATCCAAATCCTAACTCTCACCGCAGTTTCCTAGACGGCTACAAAGTTTGACGCCAGCCCAAGATGGTGCATGAGGCTGGGAAACCTGTTTCCTGGGTTGGTTTTTATGACCACTTTGTTTACGTTGTGAAGCGTTTGTAAACAAACACTCCGCTAGGTGTTAAATTTTCCTTTGCCAGAAAAAATATCTGACTTTTATCAAGAACGGTAGTGTTTCCTAATCCTACACCAGAAAACCGCTCCAGACAGCTGAGCCGCTTCTGAGTACAGGGACATGGAAGGCAGCAAAAAGATCTTCTAGATCAGCGTCTTCTAGGTTGTGGCGTCCTATAGCTGTGCATAGTAACCAATAACTCGGTCTAAGAACACTGATAAACATACATAGAGCTACATAGAGGGACCCTATCTTTAAAAAAAAAAAATTAAGAACTAGGGTTTTTTCTGTGTTGTCAGTCCAGTTAGAAAGTACAAAAAGTCTGTGTATTACATAGGTTTTCTTTTGAACTTTAGCAGAAGCACGAATTTGTTCATGAGAATTTATAAGAAGCCATTGGTTTGGACTGAGTTTGTACATTAGGCCAAGGGATCAGAGCAAAAGGGAAGTCATGCCTGCTGAAATCCCAGGTCGTGAAGAAGTTACCCTTCCAATAAACTAGATGAGAGGTTATGGCCAAATCCCTAAGCAAGCCAGTTTTACACAGCAGAATAATAGCTCTACCACAGAAGAACTTTAAAACAGCCTCTTGGTGGCTGGAGCGATGGCTCAGTGGTTAAGAGCATTTGCTTCTTTTACAGAGAAACCATGGCTGGTCCCACACAACCTGCTGGTCACTCCAGTACCGGGGCATGAACGCCCTCTTCTGGCCTCCGTGGACAAACAAGTGATAGACCCAAGCAAAACATTCGTACACATTAAAAAATAAACCTAAAGTGTGTTTTCTAACAGCTTATTTGTGTTTGTGCGGGGTTTACTTTCTTCAGTCACCCCTCACCCCTCATTTTTTGACCTGTAAAACGATTATCTGCCCAATTCATCAGATTCTGATTCTGATTCTAGAACCACAAATGAAAAGTCAACTTGCTTTTTAAACTAAATGTGTTGTAATTTTTGAGTTTTAACAGCCAAGGGTTATTGATTCAATATAATTTTCTTTTTTTTTCTTAATTTTATTTTTTAATATTTATTTATTTATTATGTATACAATATTCTGTCTGTGTGTACGCCTGCAGGCCAGAAGAGGGCACCAGACATCATTACAGATGGTTGTGAGCCACCATGTGGTTGCTGGGAAGTGAACTCAGGACCTTTGGAAGAGCAGGCAATGCTCTTAACCTCTGAGCCATCTCTCCAGCCCTTAATTTTATTTTTTATTTTTGGAAGGAGATACTAGGAGACATAACAAGGACTGCAGAAGAGCTGTTCTAATATCGACTTAAGGAGAAACAAAGATGGGTAGAGAGGAAGGCTTTTGAGAGCCTAACATCCTTTGTCATCATTGTTGCTACTGGGCAGCAGGTACCACCGGAGCTTCTAAATGATTCTCCTACCTTCGCCTCCCATCTCAAAGTAGGGGTGCCAGAAGTGCAGGTGTAAGTGGGCCTCTGAATCTGCCTTTTTTATGTGGGTTCTGGAATGGCACAAAGTCATCAAGCTTGCCAGACAAATACTTTCACCTGCCCAGGGATCTCTCTGGCCTCCTAACATCTTTTTGTTATTGTTTCGTTTTCTTTTTATTAACTTTTAATAATACACAAAGAAATGGATTTCTTTGTGACGTTTTCATATCTACATATAAAAGTAAATTTATAGGTGTGTATTGTGCTTTGTTCTTGTTCTCCCTCTCTCCTCCCCTCTATTCCCCTTCCCCCTCTTGCTAATCTCTTTCTTCTCCCGAAAGAACGTCCCACCTGCTCTCTTGTTGCACGCATTCTATTTCTCTCTTTTTTTTTCTTTCTAGAACTCACAACCTCCCTGCCTTGGCATCTCTAGTGTTGGGATTACAAGCACGCCACCAAGCCCCCCCCCCCGGGACTCTGTCATTCTATTTTTTTTAAAGATTTATTTATTTATTATATATACAACATTCCTTCCATGTATGTTTACATGCCAGAAGAGGGCACCAGATCTCATTACAGATGGCTGTGAGCCACCATGCGGTTGCTGGGAATTGAACTCAGGACCTCTGGAAGAGCAGTCAGTGCTCTTAACCTCTGAGCCACCTCTCCAGCCCGACTCTGTCATTCTAAAGCTGAATCATAGGCTAACAGTTTGAACTCAGCTTGACTTTTAGGCAGGCACTCGGCAAAGTCCAGTACATAAGGACAAATATTCAGCCATTGCACACAACATTAGCAATTACATATTACAAAATTATGTATTTTAGCATTACATATTTCTCTTGGGTTTCTATTGCTGTGAAGAGATATCATGACCACAGCAACTCTTATAGAAGAAAACATTTAATTGAGGTGGAAGCTTACAGGTTCAGAGGTTTAGTCCATTATCCTCATCAGCATCGTGGCGGGGAGCATGGCGGCATGCCGGCAGACATGGTGCTGGAGAAAGAACTAAGAGTCTCACATCTTGAGAGCAACAGGAAGTTAACTGTGACACTGGGGGTAACTTGAGCATAGAAAAGTCCACCCCCGCAATAGCACACTTCCACCAACAAAGCCACACCTCCTAATAGTGCCATGCTTATGTGGGCCAATTACATTGCAACTACCACAATATTACATATTATAAAAATCCTTGGGATTTCATGGCCCTCTTTATTTTGCCAACAACTGGACGAGATTTATGTCTTATTCCCACACATGAAGAAACCAAAGTATGAAGAGATGATCCAAGTCAAGCAGCCCACAGAGTATCTCAAATAGCATACTCTTCTCTCAATCACAGAACTAGTGTCTCCGTGTTGTATTCTATATTTAAAGGGGATTCTGTCTTTAGATATGATTAGGAAATGCTGCATGTTGGACTTGCCTCTAGACAGTGAATGTTTGAATTAAGGCTTTAGACTATCCTGTCAGGATCCAGAGTCTCACTTGGGGACTGCTGTATAATGTCCACCAGCACGATGAGAATCTGAGGGGTACTGCAGAGAAAAATTAAGCACACATTAAAATTTTTAACTTTAGGCTGGATATGGTGGTGCCCACCTTTGATCCCAGGAAGCAAAAGCCAGCAGATCTCTGTAAGTTCTAGGCCAACCTGGTCGGCACAGCAAATTCTAGGTCAGTCAGGCCTACACAGAGAGACATTGTCTCAAAAGTAATTATAATAATAATTTTACGGGGCTGGAGAGATGGCTCAGTGGTTAAGAGCACTGGCTGCTCGTCCAGAGGTCCTGAGTTCAATTTCTAGCAACCGCATGGTGGCTCACAACCATCTGTAATGAGATCTGGCTCCCTCTTCTGGCGTGCGGGCATACATGGAGGCAGAATGTTGTTTACATAATAAGTAAAAAAATAAAATTAAAAAAAAGATGAAATTAAAAAAAAATAATAATTTTACTTTACTCAACCTGAGTAAATTTGGCAGACTGATATAGTCAATCATTATTTTCAAGAAACAGGCATTAAGATCTTAGCTTTTTTTTTTCAAATATTTGTTTATTATGTATACAGGGTTCTGCTTGCATGTGTGCCTCCAGACCAGAGGAGGGCACCAGACCTCATTACAGATGGTTGTGAGCCACCATGTGGTTCCTGGGAATTGAACTCAGGACCTTTGGAAGAGCAGGCAATGCTCTTAACCACTGAGCCATCTATCGCTCCAGCCCCCTTTTAGACAACTTTTTACTGTCTTATTTTTGCAGTGCCAAAAATCAAACCCAGGGCCTTATATGTGCCAAACAAATTCTCTGCCACTCAACTACATCCCCAGCCCCCAAAATCTTGAGAAATTTCTAATGGAGGATTTGAATAAGCCTCATAGCATTCCACCAGCAAACATATAAATTAGCTGTCAGTGTCTACCTCGCACTCACTGAATACCACGTCTGTAGGTTGGGTGTCATAGGAAAATCTCACAGACATAATATGTATATTCTGTAATACCTTTGTCTCACCAAATGGAATGAACTCTCCCCATAACATCCCCACAATATTCATCAATGGGCTCAATCATATAGATTACTTCTATGCTTTCGGAGATGTTCCACAAAGGCTGAATTAGGAACTAGGTCCTTGATCTCACCTGTAATAAAGTAGATGTGCCTTTGGTTTTCCTTCATTCTGGTGCTATTGTCCTTGAGAGAAACCATCTCATCTCCAGGAGCAGATGTGTTGTATCGCAGCAGCTCTGAAAGCTTCTTCCGATTTTGAAAGTCTTCATGAATCCAAGCTTTATAATTTTTGAGAACTGTTCATAAAAACTTTTTGTAGTTCTCTTTATCTTCTGCCAGCTCAGTGAATAGTTCTAAGCCCTTCTTGACCAAATTCTTTCTGATAACTTTCAAAATTCTGCTTTACTGCAACATTTCACGGGAGCTGTTTAGAGGAAGATGCTCAGACTCTGCCACTCCTCTAACAAAATTCAGACACTCGGGGATTAACTCCTCACAGTTATCCATGATGAAAACTCTGCGTACATACAGCATGATGTTGTTGGTTTTTTCTTTCTGTTTTCGAACAGGTCAAAAGGAGAACGTCTTGGGACAAGACAGAGGGCCCAGAATTCCAATTATTCTTCAACAGAAAAATGCTTTACTGCCAAATGTTCTTCCCAATCATTGGTTAAGCTCTTGTAATCCTGAAGCCAGAAATCCTTATGACATTACTAATGAAAATCTGGAGAATTACATATTGTTTCTTAAAAGCAGAGGTG